TCGAGTTGGAGTTTTCCTGGACTACGAGTTGGGGGAGATTTCCTTTTACAACCTGAGTACCAGATCCCACCTGAGCACGCTGACGGACACCTTCACAGACAGGCTTTTCCCCTACTTCTCCCTGGGGCCTTGTTCTTGGTCATTTTCTATGACCCTAGTCACAGAGGAGAACTGAGCGGCTATAAACGTGTTCGCGTTCTTCTGTTTGTAGAAAGTGCTGGAAATAAAAGTCTTGAGTCTGCATTGGTGTGTAAGTGCTGGTGTCTTTTCTCCTGGACTCTCCCCAGCTTCTCACACCTTGCAGCCATCTGAGCAAATTCTCAGGAAACCTGGCGCTCCCCTGCAGCCCAGGGGTGCACCCGGCAGGAAGACACTGCCTCCGAAGCCCCTGCCCACGCACCACCTTCCAGTGCCCAGGGTGCAGTGGTGCCCTGCCCAGCCTTCAGACTGGCCCCGTCTCTCCGGTGATAGCCAGCACTCCCCACCCCCACACAAAGCCTCAGTGGGTTTTTTCTCTTTTTTTTTTTTTTGCATAGAAGAACTGGGGTGTAAGCCAGAGGTGGGAGGACAGGATTTGCCAGAGACACAGTGAGAGCAGAATAGCACATTGACCAAAAATCCACTGCTGAGGGGAGCAGCAGGTGAGACAGGACAGGTCTGCACCATGAGGGTCAGCTCCCTGGCCGGATGGCGGATGGCGCCAGGCCCAGTGGTGCCAGAGCTCAGCCTGAGACCTTTGCACCCCCCCGCCAGGGTGTTTGTGGCATCAGAACCAACTGAGTGGGGTGCATGGTCCCTGTGGGGCCGATTGTGATCTAGAATATATATCAAAAAAACTCAGGAATTTTGAGATCTTCTGATCCCAGGATCTGGGGTGAATTCTGCAAATACCATAAGACACATCATTCTCTTTTGTCTTCAGAAACTGGCATTTGCGGACCCTCATTTCTCCTAGGAAAGGGGTGTGACTCTTGCGCATTTACACCCTTGGTTCTTCCAGTCGATCCCATTTGCCTTTACATGAGGAGCCAGAGACCATGTAAGGACAGCGGACAAACTGATCTCCATGGGCACATATGCAGAAGTACTATAAGGAAACTCGCGGCGAAACGAGAAAGGATATGGCGTGCCTGTCTTATAAAGTAAACGAGATCAAGCTCTTTGCACGTAAAATCAGTCGATCAGACGTTTCTAGATACACGGAAGACACTTCAGGATGGGACACCTGGTAAATAACTGGAAGTGAAGGGGAAGGGTGTTGGGGGGGGAGAGCCAGAGTGCTTTGCAGCATTCCTGCTTCAGGCGTGTGCCTGACTCAGCTGTTTGTACAAGTCTGTTCTGATTCTATTTGTTTTCTGGGAACTTTGCTGGACTCCAGGTAACACAGGGGCTGCTTGAAGGCAAGCCCTGTCCTGGTCCCAGAACAGGCACAGCGCTCATGGAGAGGAGTCAAGCTG